TAGTTTTGCCTTCAGCAAGTGAAATGCGTGTTCAGTTGGGTTGAGATCAGGTTATTGACTTGGCCATTGCAGAATATTCCACTTATTTTCCTTCAAAAGCTCCTGGGTTGCTTTTGCTGTGTGTTTTGGATCATTGTCCATCTGTGCTGTGAAGTGCCGTCCAATCAACTTTGCTGCATTTGGCTGAATCTGGGCTAACTGTATATCTGTAAACACTGCAGAATTCATCTGGCTGCTTCTGTCACATCATCAATAAACACCAACGACCCAGTGCCACTGGAAGCCATGTATGCCCATGCCATCACACTGCCTCCACCATGTTTTACAGATGACGTTGTGTGCTTTGGATCATAAGCTGTTCCAAGCCTTCTCCATACCCTTTTCTTCCCATCATTCTGGTACAGATTAATCTTAGTTTCTTCCGTTCAAAAGAATGCTTTTCCAGAACTGGTCTGGCTTTTTTAGATTTTTTTTGGCAAAGTCTAATCTGGCTTTTCTATTCTTCAGGCTTTTTAATGGTTTGCACCTTGTGGTGAACCCTCTGTATTTGCTCTTGTGAAGTCTCTTGATTGTAGACTTTGACAATGATGCACCCACCTCCTGGAGAGTGTCCTCCATTTGTCTGGATGTTGTGAATGGGTTTTTCTTTACCATAGAGAGGATCCTGCGATCATCCACCACTGTTGTCTTCCGTGGACATCCATGTCTTTTTATGTCGCTGAGCTCACCCAGTGCGTTCTTCTTTCCTCAGAATGTACCAAACTGTTGATTTGGCCACTCCTAATGTTGCTGCTATCTCTCTGATGAAATTGTTTTGTTTTTATGCGTCCTTTGAACGCATGATATAGATTCACAGCAATAGATTCCAAAAGCAAATACCCAACTTAGAATCAACTCCAGACCTCTTACCTGCTTAATTGATGAAGACATAACAGAGGAGTAACCCACACCTGGCCATGAAACAACTTTTGATACAATTGTCCAATTACTTTTGGTCCCTTGAAAAAGGGGGATGACTACTCTTAAGAGCTGTAATTTCTAAACCCTTCCTCCAATTTGGATGTACATACCCTCAAATTAAACCTGAGAGTGTGCACTTTCAGCCCATATCCATTGTAGAACTCTAGCTTGAATATGTTTTGGTAAATACCTGAAAAAATCTAAAATGTTGCCTGTGTCCAAATATATGTGGACCTAACTGTATATTGTACATACAGAACTGATTTTTTGTAAGTCATACTTGCTTAGTTAGGATTTTTCTTTGTTTTAAGTGATGTTATATTTGGTAAATATGTCAGTAGTTTATACAGTGCTGCATTCACTGTGTTAGTTGCTGAATTAGTAAAATACACAACATGCCAATGTTAAAGTGTTACTAAACCCACAACAGTAAAATCAGTCTGTATATGCAGTAAAACATGCTTGTTATAGTCACCGTGGAACCTAAGGGGTTAATCCTCTGTTTGTGTAAAAATTCTCTGATCCTCCTCTTCTTCCAGTGTCTCCCTCTTATCTCCTGATAAGACATATCGTGTGGAGACACTCTGCACATGCTCAGTTTAGTGTGTATTGCTAGAGAGTTTTCTTTTTTCCTGGGAGAGTGCATGTGATCAGCACAGGGCCAATCAGCACTGTCCAAACAGAGGTCAGGGGTTCTGCATTCTCCAACAGCAGAAAAACACTCTTCCTACAAGCTTTAACCAGTGCTCTGCTGAACACTGATAGAAGGCACAGGACTGCTCCAACTGCTGATGAGAAAAGGTATTTAGCAGTTTATATTTACTAAAATAATTGCATTTCCATGTTCTGTGTACTGTGAGAGAGCAGATAGAGTGAATGCAGGGTCCTGGGTTTAGTATCACTTTAAAGAGGGACTGTACAAGTAATTATAAACATGAACTAGAACATGGGCCCCTTTGGTGATGTCAGGGGCTGCACATCAGTCTCCCTATATTTACATAGCTCTCAACTGTCCCTGATTTCGAGGGACTGTCCCTGATTTGGAACAAAGTCCCTCTGTCTCTCATGCCTCCTCATTTGTCCTTCATTTTGGTCTGATCCACATAGTTGTATACAAAATTCACTTTTCATTTTTCAAAACGTGGTTCCCAGTGCTAAACCTCTCATTCACTTTCTAAATTGCTGCATTTATAAATTTCAAAGCAAGTATAAACGAATAGTAGTGGTAAACAAAAAAGCACTTGTGGATTTAACTAACCATTTTTCTTGTATAAATCTCCTTAAAGGGGGCATGGCAGGGTGTGTGTCCTATGCCTACATACTTTTGCTAAAAGGTGTCCTTCATTGCCATCTCAAAAAGTTGGGAGGTATGTATCTAGGAAGAAGATCACCACTGATTTAAAGCATAGTAAAACATACAAACAGTATAAACTGACAATCCATTTGAAATTTTAAAGAAAATAGAAAATATATTTTGTTTCAGTCCAGCCTGAGCATATACATGAGTATAATAGATCCTCTAGTCTGTACACAGAATAAAAAGCAGTGCCTGGAAAGGACATTGTGTTGTGGACTATGTTACATACAGTTCTGGCCCAGGTTTCTAAGGGTGTCCCTCTGGTGCTAATAAAGATATTTATTCAGCCAGACATTTGTGTAGCTGCAGACCACTCAAGTATTCTCTGGAGCAAGTTTTCATGTTTCCTGAAAGGGTGCGGAGAAGGAATCCAGTTCCTAATGGACACGTTATTCAAAGAGCAGTGCCAAGCACTGTAAGATCTCCGCTCCAGAGTTAATTTTTAATTTCCTGACCTAGTTGCAATGCTCAAACAATCTTGGCTCTTTTTCACAACATATGTGGACCTCACTGCAGGAATGAATGCAGAATCAGCCCAATAGGGAACCAGCGGCACAGCTCAACAATCTGTAAAATGAGACTGAGCAGTGTTCCTGTGCTGCGCTGAGCAATGAATATAAACGCCGCACACTGCTAAAACCCAGAAATGTTAAACAGGTGTTTCCAAACTTGTTTATATCTCTCCCACTCTAAACCTGAGACGCCAGGTCAGATTCACAGCCATTCAAGTCAGCAGGCATAGTGTATTACTATTATTACTACGCAAGTGACTAGCAAACTGCAAGCCTTAATCTGACCAACAACCAATTGGCTCAAAAAAAAAAAAAAAGCATAAAAAATGGATAAAAAATGCATGAGTAACGCATGAGCAAAAATGGAAAACACACTGCAGAAACTGATCAAAAGGCCTTACTCGGAACTGTACACAAATATGGCATACATTAATTCCTGTGCTGGGTGCTTCCAGTCTATGTGCACCATTGGAACAGCTGAGCACATTCACAGACATGTCCACTGTAACTAGACTTTCACCTGTCACTTTTCTAACCTCATGTATGCCTTTGGGAACACATATGCTTTTCTTCTCTACAGTCCTATGTCAGCTGTGCTATCTTGCAGAGTTTTTAAGAGAAAAACGAGCCACGAGGAAATTTTGACCAGTTCCTGATGAACAGCCAAAATACGTTCCTTAGATGGCCTTGTTGCACCCTCCCATACAACATCCCTCAATTGAAAAAAAGAAGGAGCCAGATGGAAAATTGTCACCTGAACAGTACCTGCATCCAGTCAGATGGAGCCAATGGCTCCTGCTGCTGTGTTTTAGCCAATGAGGTGAGGGTGACCTGGGACAGCCGAGGCTCCTTTGCACATTGCTGGATCGAGAGGGGGCTTGAGTGAGTATTATGGGGGCTGTGGGGGGGAGCAGCAAACAGCACGCATTTGAATTGAACAGGAATGCATGCATTCCTGTGTGGTTCATAATGAGAACCAGGGCTAATTCATAAAAGTTACAGGATAACATTCTTGTAAATGTTACAGAATTTGTTCCACCTAACCATGTAATTCAAGTAATGGACTTATTTCAGTCATAGAGATGATTATCACAGAAAACACTCATAACGTTATTATTATTATTATTATACAGTATTTATAAAGCGCCAATAGTTCGCTCAGCGCTGTACATTACAAAGGGGGACAGAACATGTGACAGAACAATACCAATACAATGCAAAACATGAGGGGATTGAGGGCCCTGCTCTTTCGAGCTTACAATCTAGGAGATTTTTTTTTTTTATCATTATTTATGACAGTTTCTATTTCTTCTATTCTTGTTTATACAAAAACAACCCAAATACACCTTCAAGATTAAAATAATGGGGTTTATTTACTAAAACTGGAGAATGCAAAATCTGGTGCATATTTGCATAAAAACCAATCAGCTTCCAGTTTTTTTTTTGTCCAAGCGTAATTGAACAAGCTGAAGTTAGAAGCTGATTGGCTACCATGCACAGCTGCACCAGATTTTGCACTCTCCAGATTTAGTAAATCCAATTGCTTTTACCTTGAAGTAGTATTTGTCTCTGTATTGTTCTATACATCCCAAATATACACTATAATGCCAAAAGTATTGGTATGCCTGTATTTACACGCTCATGAACTTTAATGGCATCCAAGTCTTAGTTCGTAAGGTTCAATATTGAGTTGGCCCACCCTTTACAGCTATAACAGCTAATTCATTCCAAAGGTGTTCTATCGGGTTGAGGTCAGGACTCTGTGCAGGCCAGTCAAGTTCCTCCACCCTAAACTCACTCATCCATGTCTTTATAGACCTTGCTTTGTGCACTGGTGTGCAGTCATGTTGGAATAGGAAGGGGCCATCCCTAAACTGTTCCCACAAAGTTGGGAACATAAAATTGTCCAAAATGTCTTGGTATGCTGATGCCTTAAAAGTTTCCTTCACTGGAACTAAGGGGCCAAGCCCAACCCCTGAAAAACAACCCTACACCATAATCCCTCCTCTACCAAGCTTTACATTTGGCACAGTGAAGTCAGGCAAGTACCATTCTCCTGGCAACCGCCAAACCCAGACATGTCAATTGGATTTCCAGACAGAGAAGTGTGATTCGTCACTCCAGAGAACGCGTCTCCACTGCTCTAGAGTCCAGTGGCGGTGTGCTTTATACCACTGCATCTGACACTTTGCATTGCACTTGGTGATGTAAAGCTTGGATGCAGCTGCTTGGCCATGGAAACTAATTCCATGAAGCTCTCTACACACTAGTCTTGTGCTAATTTGAAGGCCACATGAAGTTTGGAGGTCTTTAGCTACTGACTCTGCAGACAGTTGGCGACTTCTGTGTGCTGTGTGCTTCAGCATGCACTGACCCTGCTCTGTCATTTTATGTGGCCTACCACTTTGTGGATGAGTTGCTCTTGTTACCCGTTGCTTCCACTTTGTTATAATACCACTAACAGTTGACCATGAAATAATTAGTAGCAAGGAAACCATGCTTGAATTCACTGAGCTCTTGAGAGCGACCCATTCTTTCACAAATGTTTGTAGAAGCAATCTGCATGCTTAGGTGCTTAATTTTATACACCTGTGGCCATGGAGGTGAATGAAACACCTGAATCCAATGGTGTCCCAATACTTTTGGCAATATAGTGTATATCATAATAGTGGCTTTCAAAGGTAGTCACCCTTGTTGAAATTGGGTTTGCATACATTGATGTGTCATTGCCCTAGGATATGGGCTAGGTTTTAACATTATAATGTCAATATTCCCATCGCACACTTTCCTAAATGAGGCTTTAGAGCTGAAGTCACAACCTGCTGGAACAGGAAACATCACAGATCAAATGCACATATTCGGCAGCACACCATGGATCTTTGAGTAGCGTCCAAATCTTTATTGAAGAATGATCACATCACAGAGGACATAGTGCATCATTTCAGAGCTGCTTCACAATCACATATCTCACGGAGGTTTCCTACGCAGGTCCAAACGTTGCACTATGTCCTCTTTGATGTGATTGTTCTTCAATAAAGATTTGGATGCTGTTTGATGATCCGTGGTTTGCTGGCGAATATGTGCATTATGTTTTAATATTAGGTACATGCCTGCAGGTGGAAGAGGTAAAGAAGAGACTTTTCACCGTATGTATGTCAGCCATACATTTTTTTACCAGTAGAAACACAATCATCCCATATAAGTTTACTTACTCATTGTTTTTTGTATTATTGACCAGGTTATGATTAGTAAAACACAAAAACATTTTGTATAAAATATAAAAAAACTTTGGTGCCTAACGTTGTGTGTCAACATGCTCCAATGATGAACATCTGGCCCTGCCTTTGACAGCACATATTTCTGCCATTGTTCTGAGATCCCCAATGATATGATTCCAATATGATGAAACAATAAAATGTTATGGGACAACCAATATAAAAGAGTCAGAGACCATATTTTGTTTTAACCATATGTGAAATAAGGCAGTTTATATAACCCAGAGTCATGTTTATTATTGTGACCCATAAATAGATGCTGCTTTTGCAACCTTGCCGAGGGATGCAATGTTTCGCACCGCATAGGAAGCCTTACATTGATAATATCCCCTCGTCTGTCGTCTCTAGGTTAAGCGCTGAACAGTCTCTCCTGTCAAGGAGTTACAGAGTCGACATTCTGTTCTGTGTCTGAGCTGCCCTGTTCCTGTGTTTACTGAACTCAGATAAAACGCCCTTTAGCTCCATGTTCCATTACTGCGAGCCTCCATAAACAAGCTGATATGCGCAACCGCTGATTATATTAGCCCTAAAAGAGTTCTGAGGCAAATGAAAAATATCAACTTCCATTCCTAAAAGCACTGTTTTCAATTTTCTGAAGGAAATTAAATGATGTATAAATCAAGAGCTGGGCCCGAGCCCAGTCAGCTGAACATCACTTGGTCCTTTTAATGCGGAGAGGAAGTGTCTGTTGCAATGGGGAAGAGCCAAGAGAAATAACGGCTAACCTCAGCTCCATGTGAAAGTCATTTGAGATAATCGGGGAAGGCTGCACACAGGTTGGAAAGGGGACCACATACTAACTGCGAGCAGGAAAATATACATCCAAATCTAACATCGATGTTCATCCTATCCATAGGGATGTTGGAGAGTGCAGGTGAAATGTTTGTGTTAGTAGTGCCCCTGAGTCAGATGCAAACCTAGAAAAGGAAACCATTAGGAATGACTACAAGCATTTTATCTACAAGTTTACGAGTGAAATCATTTGAGTTTTTTGGCTATGATGTTTGCAATGTTCATTGTGGCCAACATATTTTGGCCACATTATTTAAAATTGTATTCACAGTTAAAGTGAAAACTACAAATATCCACAAATATGATGTTACCAGACCCTGCACATGTAGCTGTGCTTGTCAACAGAACAATATAGTTTCCAGAGACATCTTACTGCTAGGCTAATGTGCACCAGCTTGTGCACAAAGTGTTGTTTTAGTAGACACAGTGGAGATTATTTTCTAGAACTGGAGAGTGCAAAATCTGGTGCAAATCCTCAAAGAAACCAATCACCTTCCAGGTTTTTTTTGCCAAAGGTAAATTGAGTGCTCCAGTAAGTAACTTTAGTAAGTCTACCCTACCCTAACTTTATCACATTTGCATGTTTGTTGCCTATTTATGATATGTGCTTTAAACATAGATTAGTAGATCGAATGCCCATGTTTATATCAAGCAGAAGTACGTAGCCACTGATTCAACTGTTATTCCAGGCAATAAGTGCAATCAAGAATGAACTGCTAATGCTATCCAGAAAATGCTGTAACTGTAGGAGAGGCAGAAAGTCCAGTTTTGCTTGATATAAGTTCTGTAATACACTGCAGCATGATTTACAGAGAGCACTTCACATGAGCAATTTCCCCCCTATCTCTAGTTGATGTATCACCAATCAGATCCAAGCTCTCAAGGCAAGTTTGAATGTATTTGGCAGATTTGACACTTTCATATATCACACCTTGTGTATGCAAGTAACAGCAAGGAGTCTACTGTGGGGATATTTGGTTATTTCTCTTTTGCATTATAAACAAGTAAGCAAAAGGGATTCTTAGGAAGCCAGATCACTGACACAAGGGAATTATGTGGACTTGTCTAACAAGTAAAGAATATTCCCTCTATACATTTCAAGGCTGAATTTCCAGTTTTGACTGGAGTGTACAAGTGCAAAAAGGACTACTATCATTTTCTGACACACCATCATACTTTCCATAGTACATCTTATTGATGATATTGTCGCTATTCATCAATGCAGCACAAAGCAGAATCCCAGACTGCTGAGAGATGACATTGCTCATGGCTAACTACGGTGGAAGATCTGATTGCCAAGGGGAAAGACATGTGGAAAAAATTCAATCAGAAATGGTTCTACTGGATTGACTTATACTCTTCAGAATTCCAAACTTTGCAGACATCCTCATGAGAGTTTCTAATTTCACAGTGAGATGGTCCATGAGGCTGACCCAAAACTGGAGAGGGTCAATGCTCCTCCTGTCCCTCTGGTCCCTAACCTTTTTTTTTTTTCTTTTTTCTTCCTTGGTATAACATTTGATGAATGGGAGCAGGGGGCTCTTACATAAGGGGATACAATATAGAAAACTGCCAGATACATTGCCCTCGTTCTTTACAGATTGATGAGTGCTACATTTAAAATCTCGTTATGTTATTGTTATGCTTCTTCTCTCTTGTTTTTGTACCTTACAATATTATTTTGTAAACTTACTGAGCAGTGTCGCTCTCCTGTGATTGTGTGTGTGTGCATGTGTGTTTTTATTGAAAACTTAAATAAAGAAAAAAAAGGACTACACTATTGATATGGAAAAATAACTAAATTTGATAGACAACTTGCCTGTAGGCTGTAGGAGATCGCTAGTAAGTCATTCATATAACCCATACTATCTGTCTACACATACAGTATATACACTGTATAAATCAATAGTAAACAATAACTACATAGCATGCTAGATTATACAATTTTCACTAGATGCATGAGGCCCAAATTGAAGATGCTTAGAGATGCAATCAGGAGCTTTCCAATAGGCGCTTGTAACTGTGGCGGGAGCATGCAGAGAGTGCGTTCTCAGCACAGGTTTGTTTACATCTGGTACACAAATATGCCAGTTGAGAGACCGCATATTTGCCTACCGAGGATGCTAAGAGGTTAAAGCGGTAGTAAATGCCACTTGGACACTTGTACCTACTGGTAAGCTCATAATAAATCTTACCTGTAGGTACTAGGAATATCTCCTAAACCTGCACCGTTTAGGAGTTATTCACTGTTTCTACAGCCAGTAATTTCACCGGTGCATGTGCTTGGAAGGGACTGCATATTAATGCCATCCCTACAGAGCTGTGTGCCATGCCCCTGACTCCGAAGTGCATGTGCAGGAGTGACGTCATTGCGGATCAACCATTCAAATAGCCGGAGCTCGTGAACCCATAAGAAGACTAGGTGAAGATGGAAGTCCTGTCACCGTGACAGCACATTGATGGAGGACTTCGTTTTAAGGTAAGTCTTTCATAATGTGCTAGTATGCGATGTGCACACACACACACTGCTTAGTGCTGTAGCCTCCTAGCCCCCTTACTACACTAATACAATCAAGTCCAAGAACACTCTCTACCCTGGCAATGCCCCCTCCAGCCTTAGTCCTAGTCGCACATGGGAACACTCATACACTTCCCCTTCTGCACCTCAGGCCTTGCCAGTAACCAGCTTGTGGTCAGTGGGTTGCTCACAATCCACCTGTCACCTGCCCAAGATCCATGGGTACATCACAATTGATGGGTCTCCAACCCCACTCTAAATGGTAGTACTTGATACAGACCTCCAGAAACACCATCTCCGTTGAGGACATACAGTTGTGGCCAAAATTATTCAACCCCCAATGCTGTAAAGGGGTTTAGGGACTATAGTGTACATTTGGAATTGTATTCAGAATCAAATCCTACAAGGACGTTGTAACTACCCAAATGCAACTAAAATGACATCAATTGTTTATGTAATACAGTAGTAAATGGTTCTTATGTGGTTTCTTCATTGCCACAATTATTCAACCCCTTAAAGACTACCACTCTGAAGAACAGAGGTTCATACAGGTGCTTTCCATCAGGTATTGAAAACACCTGTGGATGTCACCGAGCAGCAATCAAGCATAATAAGCACCAATTAGGCAGCTTTAAAATGACTGTGATACTCAGCTTCTTCTAGACATTTACTGGTGTGGTTACAAACATGGTGAAGGCAAGAGAATGGTCCAGGAAGACAAGAGAAGAGGTGATTTCTCTTCACAGGAAGGGCAATGGCTATAAGAAGATTGCAAAGATGTTAAACATAC